GGTGGGCACTTTCCCTCCCCCCCCCCCCCCCCCGCCTTCCCCTTCCCCTGAGCCCGAGAACGAGTCCGAGATGCTCCACTTCCCCAGAGGGAGACCTCCCTTCGCAGTGAGAGATCAGCTCGCAGTGTCCTCCTGGCAGCGGGGCCCGAGGCAGGAGCGAGGACGGGCATGGCCCCGGTCACAGGTCACGGGAGCTGGATGGGGACCCGGAACCGTGGGAGGGCCCTCCAGGGGCCACTTCTGAGTGGCCTGCTGTCCCTCAGCGCTCCTGATGCTCAGTGAGCCGGCTCTGTACCCCCACCTTCTCCTGGATGTGGCACGGGGCTCCTCCTGTCCGCTGCTGCGGCCAGGCAGGGTGGACTGCGTGGGCTTGGTCTTCATCAGTCCTGGCTGACGCGGACGGAGAGCGATGGCCATGCCGGCCCCCCGTTAAACAGGTGCAGTAATAAGTGTGGCCGGAAGTGTGTGTCACGCAGGACGTGTGTGCAGACGCTCGGGCTCACGCGAGTCTGACCCTCTCAGCTTTCACACCAGGCAGGCCCCTCAGCCTGCACCTTCCCGTCCCACCCACCCGGGCCCCACAGCTGGGCGCGGCCAGCGGCTGGGGGACTGCAGGCCTCCCGCCCCTGCCCAGGTCTCTCCCTCCCTGGTAGCAGCTGCGTCTCCCAGCTGGCATGAGTCTCTCCCTGGCACGTGGTACCACTCACAGGCATGAAGGCCAAACCAGGTGGGCGTCCAGGAGGTCAGAGGGGGCTCATGCCCTAGGAGGCCTCGGGCCCTGGTGTGTCCCCTTGGGAGACTTGTTCCCAGAGGAGCCGGGGCTAGGAGGTCAGCGGTCCCTGGACACACCGTCCTGACACCCTTGGTCGTGGGCCTCCCTTGGCAAGTTCGACTTTGCCTGGGTTTTACAGTTTGGGTTCACAAAGTGTCAAAGCGCTCGGGCGTGCAAGTACAGAGTGGAGCACAGAACTGCGTGTGCCCCCTTCCTGCCGCCGGCGTGCAGGTGCCAGGTGCAGCCCCAAGGGCAGGTCCAGAGAGGGGTCACAGGCACTGAGCAGCTGTGGGTGGGACACACAGCCCTGGCAGAGTCCCGCTGCCTCTGAACTGCCCTCGTTCCACTCCTGAGGCCCCAGGTCATGTACACACTGTCAGGGCAGCCCGCGCCGCTCACCCAGCTGCCCGGCTTGTGGTCTTCATGGCTTCAGGGAGCGTGGCCACCGCACTCCCGACCCGAGTCAGTGTGACCTCTTCATGCGGCAGAACGGGACCTCAGCCTGCGAAGCACACAGAGCCGCCGCCTCGGACGTGGTGGTTGGGAGTCCCTGTAGGGACAGCTCCTTTGTGGCCTGAGTGTCGAGCCCCTTCTCTGAAGCCGGTCTGTGCGCCGCCATGTCCATGTGGAACGTGGAGATGGCGCCTCCCCTCTCTGTGTCTCTCTGTCTCTGGGTCCCCAGGAGATGTGCCCGTGTGATCTGACGGCACTTGCTGAGGTCCTCACCGAGGGGACGTGGCTGTTCACTTGTGGAGGCTGAGGTATTTTAGCTGAGACGCTCACAGCCAGGCCTCACCCTTCCTTGCCCCTGACCTGGGGAGGAGGTCCTGCCCAGGCCGTAGGATCCACATGGTCAGAGAAGGAACAGAGTCCTCCAGGCCACCTGAGGGACACTCACTGGTGGCCTCAGGTGACCGGTGGCAGGAGGGAGCGGGACAGAATGTCACCATCACCCCCAGGCCCTCACTCACCCTGACTCCTCCACGCTGGGTCAGCCGTCCCCTGGGTGGACGCTAGTCAGGGGCCCTTCACCTGAGTCCGGGGAGAGACGTGCAGCCTTGGCCCCCCACCCAGCAGCCTAGCTGTCTGGCCCCACCCCACCGTCCTGAGTCCTAGGCGTGCCCTGGATACTTCTAGAAGACGCATCGCAGCTGCCCAGACAGTGTCCATCGTCAGCCCCATTCCTCTTTCAGACGGGCCTGTGAGCTCGCGTTTCTGGGCGTCTGCCCCGTGCCGTGGGAGGCGGCCCCGTAGGGTCAGGATGAGCCAGATTGGGCCAGGCGACGAGAAGACCAGGCTTGAACTGGACAAGCAATGCAGAAGGAGGGGCGCTGTTCCCCTGGGCTCAGGGCAGAGGGCCTCCCGGCCTCCAGGGGTGCTGCAGCCCTCCATGGTCACTCAGGAGCCCATCAGACAGGGGGCCCGTCCTCAGGTGGGAGGAGGCTCTTCTGATATCATCTTCCAGCTGCCAGAGGGAGAAGGAAGGGCTCAGTGTGGACAGACAGGTTCAAGGGCCACTGGTGTGTGCTCAGGCCCGCCAGGCTGCAGGGCAGGCTGTGGCCTAGTGTAGTGGGAGCTGGGGTGGACCCTGGACAGCTCCCAGCCTCTGCCAGGGCCCATTGCTCAGGGCAAGGTCCCTGGGGTTTGGGTTCCCTGAAGATTTCCCCAGCCCCCAGGGGACAGTCTCAGTGGCATCCCTGCGGCCACATGGTTGGAGGAGACCGCACCCGGGTGTGCACACCTGTAGCTGAACTGCTTTCAGTGCAAAGAGCCTCCATCATTCTGGCCCAAGGAGCGACTGCAGGGGAGCCCTGAGGCCCCACGGCCACCCAGGCTGTAACGCCCAGCACCCAGGTCTGGCCGAAGGTGGCCCAGGAGGGTCATCCCCATTACCTGCCCATTACGTGTCCATGCATGTCTGTTACAGGTCCTTCCCATGTCCATCACATGTCCATTACATGTTTTGCTTCTCTGGCTCCCTGTGGGTGCGCAGGGCCTTCCCAGGAACAGACTCTGGCTCAGGGCACAGATGGCCCTGGAGGGTCTCAGTGGCAGGTGGGAGGCCATGAGGGATAGAGGCCCGGCTGGGCACTGTGCTGAAGCTTGTCTGAGGACCAGGCAACAGGCCCAGGGGGTTAGGGCATCTCCTCCATGGCCCCTGGGCCTCCCTGCCTTGGCAGTCTGGGCAGTAGGTGCCCAGGAGGCCCTTTGAGGACTGGGGGGCAGAGGGGGAGCCCATGTTGTGACTGGAGGTGCCAGCAGATGGCGCCTGGGGCCTGCGATTGTTTCCTAGGCCAGTGGGCAAACCCGACTTTAAGACATCCACGACTGCAGAGCCCTGGAACAGGACAGTCCTCTGACCTCCTGCACCTGCGTCAGACTGTCATGTGCCCTCTACCCCACGGCCACGTGTTGCCCTGGGAAAGCCCAAGGCTGGCAGGGGGCGTGTGCCGGGATGCAGACTTTGCAGACTGGGCAAGCCGCTGCCGTGACGCGTGGGTGCAGAGCAGAGGCTGAGCACTGTCAGAGCTGTGAGGCCCCAGGAGAGGCTGGAAGAGGTCAGGCTGACGTGAGGGGCTACTGTGCACCTGCCGCCCGCCCTGAGCCCTGGCAGCTGACCCAGAATGGCCACAGGGACCTTGCCAGGAGCACCAACCGTGTGTGACACGAGAGAGGCTAAACCACCCAGGTGACCAGCAGAGGCCTGTGCTGACCCCAACTCCAGCCAACTGAGTCCCCACACTGGTCACTATGCTGGACGATCCTCCAGGCGGCCATCCAGGTTCCCTGGAGAGTAGTGGGCCTTGGGATGCAGGGCAGGGGGAGTCGGCACCATGTCTGCCCGTGGGGAGCCAGGGACACAAGGACAGGGCTGGGAGAAGGGGAGAGGGCTGCACTGCGAGAAGCAGGTGCTGGCAGCACGTGGGGCCCTGCGCCGGAGCAGTCGGGCCCTGTGCAGGGGCCGCAGTCGGGCTGCCGCTCGTCCGGAGCCTGTGCCAGGCGGCACTCACTGCCCTGGCACCAGCACTGGTGTCCAGCAGTGCAGCGGGCATGCTCAGTCCTGGGTCCCACTCTCTGTATCTGCACACCCAGATGTGGGGCCCAGGCCGGGCAGGACAGGAAGGTGCAGGCTGAGGGGTCTGGGGTAGGGCAGGGAGGAGCCGTGCCGGCGTGAAAGCTGCTAGGGTCAGGCTCGCGTGAGCCAGGACGTCTGCGAACGCTCTGCACCTGACACACGCCCCTGCAGCAGCCCTTTTCAGAACTTCTACTTTCTTTGCGTGGCGGACAGGTCGGCGCTCACTCTCCATCCGGTTCAGGACTACGGTCATGCCTGGTCTGCTGTGCCTGGCCTTCCC